CTTTCCCTCTGTGCAGTGGGACCCAGGCTCTGGCAGGTGAGACCATTTCTCCTGTTCTTGAACTTCCCCGGAACCCAAGCCAATAGATATATGTTCCCAAGACTTACTGTGGAGGGATGGTAGTGATATAGAGTTAGAAAAAGGCACCCTCCCCACAAGTGGACTCAGCCTTGTGAATGCTAGTCACTAATGAAATTGGGTAGATTTTCATCCTTTCTCTCTCCTTCCTGGGGCACAACTAACAGCCACTTCTGGGGGCCTTGGGTGGGGATGGTGAGATACCAGTAGGATGTGATCCTAGTAAAGGTATTGTACTTTCTCTTCTAGGCTCCAGGTTTATCTGAAGTTGCGATGTGACCTGCCCCCAAAAAGGTACGAGTGGGGATAGCCAAGACTAGTTCAGCTATAGTGGGTAGGAGACAGACATCTGTTGCTTCTGCTTTTAGATGCAGTCACCAGCCTCGGAATCCAGTTTAGTTAGAGGCTCAAGAGTTTGGGAAGGGGATATGGTGGCACTAGTGCTGCATTCTAGCTGTGACATTAATGAAGAGAGGGAACAAGTCACTACCTTCCTGGGGCTGACTCTGTTCCTTTTGTCTTTACAGCCAAGCTCTCAACGTCAGGCTGCACCTTCCTCTGCCTCGAGGGGTGGTCAGGTTAGTGTGTGTGCACTGTGGGGACTTAGGTGGTTTTAACAGCTTGCCGGGCAACAGGTGACACTGGGGAGGAGTGTGTGCACTGTGGGGTGGAACTGCCTGCCCCCAAAGCAGGGAGGGGCTGAACCCAGCACATTTCCTCTCCAAACTCCAGCCTGTCTCAGGAGCTCAGCAGCCCAGAGCAGAAGGTAGAGCTCAGGGAAGGAGCCCTTCACTGGGACCTGCCTCGGGTGCAAGGAGGCTCTCAGCTCTCAGGCCTTTTCCAGGTATTGGCTGCTGATTCTCTAAGTTCGTCTCCTCCCACCTCCATTTTCAGCTCCCTGACCTATCTCTCCTAATGCAGTTGCTGCATTATTCCCGCCAGCATGGTCAGCTTTCTGACCCCTTGGCTTCCCTGCCCAACTTCCTCTCTGTGCCTTCAGCACCCCTCCCCCTACTTCTCCCCCTCACAGATGGACATCCCGGGCCTGCCTGGACCTCCCAGTCAAGGGCACTCCACCTCAGCCCCTCCTCTGGGGCTGGGTCCTGCAAGCCTCTCCTTTGAACTTCCCCGGCACACGTGCTCTGGCCTCCAGGTTCGCTTCCTCAGGCTGGCATTCAGACCCTGCGGCAATGCCAACCCCCACAAGTGGGTACGACACCTAAGCCACAGTGATGCCTATGTCATTCGGATCTGAGGTTCCCCAAGTGAGAATATGGGCACCAAAGGCAGCAGCCTGTGGTTAGGGAGAAGGACGATACTGTCTTTTCCGGCCTTCCAGCCCATGACTATGGATGTAACTGGAAGAGTCTTAAATCCTAGAGATCATAAGGTCTCAACGGGTTAGACCTTCTTAGGGTATTGGACACAGGAAAGACTAAGGTGGATCAGAAATTACAAATCAAACTTTTATTCTGAGGAGCTGGCTGTACAATATCTAAAAAGAAGTTACGGTGAAGGAAGCAGACTACTTCCTTCCACCTAGCATGCGTATACATGTGTATGTGTGTTTGTTGTGTGGAGAAATAGAATCTGGGGGAGAGAAGGTTGGCGGATGTGTGACAGCATCAAGGCGCAGGCTGAGGGGAGCCAGATCCAGGAGGCTGAGAGCCATTAGCCTTTGGAGTCCCTGGAGCTGGAGGGGGACTATCTCCAGCTTCCTGTTTCCCTCCACAGAGGGCACTGCCCCCAAGGGGGGAGGGAGCTGAGGATGGGGGAGGAACAGGAGAAGGATGGGAGGTGGGGCCTCCTTTGCCCTCCCCTGTTGGGGGAAGAGAGACCACTATGTACTTCTGGACACTGCCAGGGCCAGAGGGGGCAGTGCTGGGGGGTGCAGCTGTAGCAGTGGAGACCAGCTTGACAATAGGCTGCACACTGGGGACCGTGGTAGTAACGGGAGAGGTAGTGGTAGAACCTGAGCCAGGGGCTGAGGTGCTGAGGGACAGGACCTGGAAGAAGAAAGAAAGGCAGTACCTGTTGCCTTATATCCTCTACATTCCTTGGGTCTGGGGGAATACTTCACTTGCTCCAACTGAATAATTTATCCTCTGAGCCTTGCTCAGGAGGAGCATCTGTGGCCTTTTGGGCCCCTGGGAAGTAATCCTTCTAGCTCCTATTTTTGGGTCCAGATGGGACTGGGCTATACTCTAGCCGCCCACCCCAGAGTGCTCTGAAGTAACCTCAGGCCCCTCAGGGCAGCATGATGACATGCTGCCCACCATCCCTGGTCAGTCCCACACAGCTCCGTACCTGTTGGGTGGATGAAGCGCTGGAGGACGATGACATTACAATAAACTTAGTTGGAGGAGGGGAAGGTTGAGGTGGGGCAGCAGCTCGTGCAGACACCAGTGTCTGGACAGGCAGAGCAATAGAGCCAGGAACCTTCAGCAAGCCAGGTGTACGAGGGCCAGGCTGAGGGGCCTGTGAGAGGGTCAGCGTGGGCCGGGGCTATAGGAAAAAGAAGCAAGAAGAAAATTGTCAACATCTAAGAAAAAAGGGCTCCTCTTACTTCTCAGTGGGTCTCATTGGGGTTGGGGGCCTAGCTTCCCCTAAGACTCTGATGCACAGGGCCCTGGGCCTTTTTAAAAAAATTAGTACCTGAGTATAAGTATGTCTGTGATTCTTTACCATGATGGAAACCCTGACTATCCCACCCCCATTTTTCTTCATTTTACCTTCCTCTTCCCTGCACTGTCACTGACCTGGGTGATGGTAAGAGTGGTCCTGTTGACCTGCT